CGCCGCCGGCAGGCCAAGCAGGCCCGGCCCCTGCCGAACGGAGTTGCCGGCGCAGCGAAGCGGAGCTGGCAACTCCGTTTGGCGGAAGGGCGGGCCTGCTTGTTATGATACAAAACGACCCTGAAATTCCCTGATCGATATCTCAATTCTTTCTCGAGTTATCGTGCGTACAGACGGACAAACAGACAGACAAACGAACAGAACGAAACTTTTCCGGTCAGTGGAGTAATGGGCTTCGCTAATCGTTCAGCCAATGACGGTTCACCTAATGGTCACAGCTGGTGCGGCACTTCCGTGTGCAGGCAGTAAAGTTCTTCCCCGATGTGAGATCGTTGACTGGTCATGTGAGTATGCAACTGTGGTTTGCAGTAGCTCGATTGCTCGGGCTTGGGCGGTTCCCTGTGTGTAATGATTTCAGATGAGAATCCAAGGGAGCTGGTCGACAGATTCGATGTTGTGCTTTATGCCACCATGAGTAATGTGCAGCCCTCGCAGTGCGAGGAGTAGTTAACGGACGTTGTAAGTTATCACGACACGGAGCTATGTGAATCACGAAGTGGTTGATGAAAATTCAAGGTTTAACAAGTCACGACAGGACCTGCGATGTGAAGACGAGGAAATGCACGCTGACGCTGTTCCGTGGTTTGCCAACTACCTGGAGAAGGCGTACAGAGACTTCAGCGGCAGGCGTTTATATTACAGCCCTGCCCGATTTCATGGAAATATGGCGTTTCCCAACAAAGGAGCATGCAGGCAAACTGTGCCGGGCGCTGGAAATACCAGAAGACTGTGTGGGTTCTTGGCACACGTCCTAAGGGCCGTGGGGCACGGTTGATCTGGACAAGGAGTGAATTTCTACTTTAAGCACATCTGTTGTTGTGCACCTTACAGAGAATTTTAGGAGAGATAAAGTGTTGCTAATTTCATTGAGTTCCATTTTTACTTAAATAAAATGTGTTCCTCGCATTTCCAGCAAAATACTTTTCTTAGATATAACACTACCAAGGACCTAAGATGATAAAATTTAATGCTAGAGATGAAACTCAAGTGAAAATGAATACAGCGTTTGGACGCTATCCAGCCTCGAAAATCTGTGGGAATCACAACTCCGGAGGTGTTGGTCTATCTAATCATAAAGTGACACCTGCTATAAGAAGAATTGAATTGAAATTGAAAGCATTTAGTAGTGTAGAATGTTGTCACATGATGCGGTTCAGTCAATTTAGCCAGTAACACCTATCTTCACTGTTTGTTTACGTTTCCATAAAGGAAGTATCAAAACCACAACATTTTAAGTTGAAATTTATATCAAGTAGTACTTCCTTACAGTTTCCAAGTGTATCTGCTGCCTTTAGGCCAATACTATGGAGTTCCAATGTTGAACCCAGCACAATAACCGGGATAGTATGGAAATAAAGAATAAAAACTTACTGACTAGAGTAGATGATTCCATAAAAGGAAGCAAGGCATGCCCCCCGCGTAATCAGCAGTCTACAACAAAATTTGTACACAGCCTTTATCAGTCACACTTTATTGCAACGAAGCTTGTAACGAAGGAGACAGAACTATGCCAGATCGTCGACCATACCTAAGCAGGGTGGGCAAGTTGTTTGAATGAAGAGCGTCCATAGATTCTGTTCTGCTGGTCGGCCGGGGCGGCGCTGGTTGTTCTGCCCCACCAGCTGGCGGGCAGGCCTCATCCGCCAATTTCCATAGTCGCGTGTGGCTCTTGAACGTCCGAAGGCTGGCTGGATGTTTCTGGTGTAGCACACCTCCATCCGAGGGAATGCTCTTGCAGCCAGCTTCCGCGCCGAACGTTTGTGCTGCTGGGGGTACCACTGACACCCCCATGCGCTGGTCACGTTCTGCGGAAGGGAGAGATTTAGCCGAGGTCGTCCACCATACCTAGGCAATGAGGGCAAGTAGTCTGGATGAACAACGTCCATACGTTCTGGTCTGCTGGTCGGCCGGGGCGTCGCTGGTTGTTACGCCCCGCCGGCTGGCGGGCAGGCCTCAACCGCCAGTTTCCGTAATCTCTTGTGGCTCTTGA